TATTATTGAAAATATTTAGTCTGAAGGATTATCTGGTCTTTAGATTTATTTGAATGACCCAAATATGTTTACAATCTCAGCATCATTTAGAATTGTAGCTAGTAGTATAGAAAATAGTTAGGATCAACAGAGAAAGGTTTTTGTCAAAAATAATTGACAAGAAAACTGTTATGATTTTGAATAACAAAACACTCTGCTGTGTTGATACTGTGGTTAAAAAAAAAAACACTTGAAACAATAGCCATAAGAGGGCTTGTACATCTTCAGTTCTCACAGACTAATTGCATTTATTAAATAATTTAATTTAAACTTTCCTCTATATTATAAGTTTTGATATCTTCACTTTAATGCCATACAATCATGATTTTGTACTGTAGTGATGTGAACATGTCTATCCTTATGTTTTAAATGGAAGTTTAAGCTAAAAAGATATTTTATAAATGCCTTTTTGGGCTACTGGTCTGAGGAAACCTTTGGATTCACATGCCCTCATATGGCCATTGGCTACAAGCTGAACTGAAAACCTAATAAGATAACAGAATAGTTTATTTATTGACTATGATGAATTAAGATTTTATAACATATTGTACCCCTCCCATATAATGCACACCATAATACTACATAATGGTGAGTATTACCTGAATTATTTTACTTGAAACAAAGCTTCAGAATGCCCTAAAATAATTAATTTTTGTCACATATTGTCTCTTAATTCAACAAGTATTATCAGAGTATGGCAATATACTGAAAGAGCCAGCAGTGGTAAGCTCATGTTTGTTGATTTCTAACTGTGACCTTTAAAGTTCAACTGCCCTAATGACCTTAAAGTGACTTACTTTTATGGTATCTAAAGCACTCGCATTTCTCCTTGCAAAAGTTGCATGAATATTTCATATTATCAGAAAGGGTTGGGAAGAAAACTCGCTATAAAATCAGGTAACATTCTTTATTTCTGAGATTTTAACAACATAATAGTGTTTTCTATACAGCTGCTACAAATATTGTGATTGACCTGTGGGTGTATTATATATTATATAGTAGGGGTGGCCAACCTGTTGTGAGATATCTACTTTTTCTACAGTTGCCCTGATGCTGCCTACCAGCCTAAGATTCAAACATATTCCATAAATGTATAATTGTGTGTTCAGACATGTCTATCATTATAAATATAAATATAACTTATTCCCAGAAAAAAAAAGAGAAATATAATCATTCAAGTATCATGAGTACTTGGATATGCTGTTGCAGCTATTTGCATGCCAACTTCTGAAGGACGAATTATTAACAAGTACAGTAGTGTGATTGACTTAAAACAGGCTTGCGATCGAACAGTTGATTGCGATCAACTGGTTGGCAACCCATTATATAGGATGTGAGGACTATGATATACATATTAACCTTCTGTCCTCTTTCTCATTATTTTAATAGGTTTCCTGAAAGTCTGTAATGGTATTTTGAAATTCCAATTTCCAATTTCACTTCCACGTGGATGTTTGCCTTTATATCATCTCAAGCATGAAATTTAGTGTACACAGATGTGACCCTTATTTATGTGGTTTATTTATTTATTTTTTATCTATGTAAATCATGCAAATATTTTTTTCATTTTTTTTCTTTGTTTTAGTGTGTTATTAATCTTATGCTTTTTTCATATTCTTGTTTCCTAAGGTTTGGAATTTTTGTCCAGAAATATTATAAGTGCCACTAGAGCTGAATCTGTGAATTATTTATTTAGGTATGAGTAAACACAGTCTATCATCTTACACATCTAACATCTCATATACTTGTATGATGTAATTCATAAAGTCATCTTAGTCACTGAGAAACATAAAAATGTTATTGTAGACAAATTTCAGTAGTCTACAAAAGTAGGTGCATTACAATGGCACAGTTCACATGTCAAGAAATATGTAATTACTCATATAATCAAATCAGATATTGACAGAAATAGTTATACATGAGGTCACATATATATCAAGTCACAAACTAAATAAGGCCATAAGGTAAGGAGAGAGAGTAGCATTTATTAGAAAAAAAAAAAGTAAATCATTGAATGAATAAGTCATTACATCCTTACCACAACCTCAGTGAAGGGGTGTGAGTCAGACGGCGGCCGCACCTTGATGGTTCATTTTCCATTGTAATATCTTCAGAACCAAGGCTCAATGAGTTTTAATTACTTCACGTTGAACTTTATTACAGTGGACTACTGCATCATTTATCAGCCGTTGTGTAAAAGTATTTTCTTTTAGCCTTCTTTCTATTTTTCTGTTGTCTTTGTTTCTTTATTTTTATAATTTGTTTATTTTTCTTTATTCTGTTCTTTCACTGTTTATTTGTTTCTCTCTTCTTTTATTACTCTTCATTCATACTAACCAAATGTGTCCAGTAGGAATATTCATGTCTATACATCTCTCTACAGTCTTCCCCTATGTTGTGTAGAACTGCAGTTCGAGAAATAAATGCTGTATATTATGAATTATTGTCCTTTGAAATTGTTTATAGTTTTATTGTTTACATTATGAATAATTATCAAATATATTTTAATGGACTGATTTACTTGTATCATTTAATTGGTATTATTGGAATGTGTTTCACTTGGTATTTATTACTTTTATGATTAAACTTTTTCTCATAATTATCATTATTCTCATATTTAAAGAATTAGGTTTAGATGAGTAAACAAATAGAAATAACTTCTTGCCAGCAGTGTGCCAAACTGAAGATAACAATTAGAATAAATTACTTCCCTTCACATATGTTACCGTTTAGGAAGCTGCTAAACTTGATGTGCCTATCAAAATAGTTTAGTTTCTCTTCATCTTTAGAGAAATATTAGCACAGAAAAAAAGAGAGAGAAAAGTTATACATTCTGCACTTCTGTATGCTCAAATGTTAGGAAATTTCACTGCAAGTATATAGTATAAAGTTAGGATTTTAAGGCTGTATTTGAGTCATTTACAGCACAAAAATAGAATGAATTAACCATTAAAACATGGATAACACACCAAAAAAAAAAATTTTGTGTCTATCTCTCTTCTTAAGTAGCTAGCTTGTAGAATAACTTTCTACATGTATTTTTGTTTTAAAAATCTCTGTGCCTTTAAACAGTGTTTGCGTTGCTAGACTGTGCAAACTAAATGTCATTCCACTGAAAAGATATATATATCATTTGAACTTGATTATTAGATATTTTGTGCTTACAGTTTAGATTAAAACCCTTCTAAAATGTACCAAAGGGATAGAGTCTGTAAAACTGTTCTTCACGCAGATTGATTAGGTAAACTTACCCTGATGTTCAAGTATATAAATACAATGAAAACATGAAACTGCATGTAGGACTCAGTAATGTCGTATCAATGTACAGCAATTGGATATTTAATTAAATTGTATTTGTATTAAGGGGACTGTCTGGCATGTCCAGACAAGGGGGCTTGATCAGTGGGCATAACCTAAGAAGGAGTCTAGAGGTGGACAAACTACCTGCAAAACAGCTGATTTGCAAATGGAATCAAATGTTTAGCCAATAGTGTGACTGCAAGCTCATGCCCACTCCTCCGGACATACCTTCAGAAAGCTAATTTTTCTCCACTTACACATTTCACATCAGTGCACTTTTCAAAGTAAACCAGTTTAGCAATGTCCCATGTTCATGATAGATATTTCATCATAACCTTGTACTAACCTAAATACACGGTAGACTATACTACTGAATTTTTTGTACTGTAGAAGTAGGATGTGATGTAGTGACAGGTCTGATGTATTTGTACCACCTGTTGTTGTAGTTCCTCTGCACAGTATGAAAACTCTAACTTAACTTGAAAGGTAGGTTTATTATGAGTAGAAGTAGGTTTGATCTATTGTTTGTCAGTACCAAAATTTTAGGGAAAGTATGTTAAATAATTTTCATATACAAAAGATGGGAAGAAAACATTACTTATGAATAGGTCAGTGAGAAGGAACAGCTGTCCATCCATTAAGATTCTTTTTCCACTATTAATTTTCTGTACAAGGCCCCCTCCACATTATCAAAGTGCCTGGCAGACTTTACCCAATTACCAAGAAAAGACTAATTTGTCATACAAGGGTACTGGTGTCTAACAGGCTTGTCTATCCATACCAAGCAGCAGTCATACTGCCAGGCAGACGGCCTTATCTGGTGATTTCTGCTCAACCATGGGTATGGGCATTGTTGACTTACCCAAGCAATGGGAATTGTGCTTGATCGTGTGGGTAGGGCTGACGAAATATTTCATTTTATAAATGTGTTTGTATTTTTGTTATTTTGAATATCTAAATAGTTTAGCTCTGTTTCTTCCTTGTCAGATGGTACAATTGGTTGTTACAATTTCCAGAAGAAAAAAAATAGCTAACATCAAACAATTATGTCTGTATTCAATAAGTTGTAGAAATAAAGATAAATGTATATGAACTTTTGGAATTTCATCATTAACCTATGATGATGAATTTTATCAAAATCATGCCAACTATCTCTTATTAGCTCAATATAAAATAATGTTTTGTGGATGAGGAATGACTCATGCTTGTGAATCAAATAGATACAGAATGGTGTAAGGATGATTTTATTATTTATTTGTTTATTGAACAATACCAATCTCTCTCCTCTTAATAAGGACCATATATTTAATATAGTGGAACTGATTCACTGAACTTCCTACCAATTCATATAGCTTTAAGAAGAAACCTCTTAAGTGAAATGTTTGTCCCATATCCTTCTGGACTGGTTAGTTGAGAAACCTGCTGACCATGCTGCAGGATGGGCTAGTTCCTTTCCACTCTCATATTAACCGTAGTATGTAGAGGTCAGCATACCAATAGTTATTCACAGCTGAGTTAATTTGAGAGGTGCAGCCAGGCATGAACCCAGAACATTGTGATTGCAAAACCAGTGCTCTACCACTGAGCTATGACACCTCAGAGAAGAAAAACCCAAGATCCAAATTATGTGAATATTATATTTTTGTTAATCATACAACAAATAGATCTGCCTTTTTATTTTCACTGGTATCAAAATACAAATTCACTAAGACAACATGTTGAGTATTAGAACATGTTTTTTTTTTAAATAACCCTACAGCAGAAAAGATTTAAGGAAAGGAAGGCGAGTGATACCAATATTACTTTAAAATCATTTTGAGAAAAAGAAAAAAAAAGAAAATACTGATGTAATGTAAATATGCATTGGTCACACACAATGATATATTTATGCCTTAAGGCCATAGGTACTGATCAGCTGTTCAGCCTTTGCCACGTACGCCTCCATGGCTGCCTCCTTGGACATACCCTTCTTACTGCTCCAGGCATCCCACTTTGCCTTTCCTTTGAAGTCCAACATGCCTGGCCTCTCTGAAGGGGAGAAAAATGACAGTTATACTTAAGGTCCAAAATAGAATTTTCCTTTGAGCTCAACTGAAAAAATCCACTTTCAAAAACATTTTTAAAAGTTCTGATGTATACAAATGTGATTTAGAAATAGTCACATGGTGAATGACTCATATCACATTATCTCAATTAATATCTATGATCTTGGTTCCTGAATTATCACACAAGTTACTCAAGAGAGGACTGATAAGCAATGCTTGACTTAATATATCACACTATCAGTGGTTTTGACAGCTAATCATACACATTCAAACTAATCCTCTTATCCCAGCTTGTTACTCTGCCTCTAATTTAATATCATTAAAGGTTAAATAATCAGTATTAGCACCTGTTTGTAAATCATAAATCTTCTAAATATTAAATTTTACACTCAAAACTTTCTTATCCTTGTAATAACATAAGATTTGCAGTCTCACTATTCTAGCATTTTGCCTTCAATTATACGAAGTTACAGACATTGTGATTAACAAAGGAAGATCCTTCTTTCCATCCCGTCATAGTAAGAATAAAGCACTCAAGTTCATTAAATTCATATTCTAACGGTCAGAAACTCAATTCTCAATTATCATTTCTGTACTATCAAGGACTAATTTCTAGCAAGACACTTTCAACCCATCAATAAAAATAAAAAAAAATTGTGGCAATGTTATCAGATACTGAAAGAGATCTAGTACAGATAAAACATTTTTCCATTCGGATATTATAATATCATGATCTTGTGACCAGACACTTATCTTCAAGATAGATTTATAAATAGAAACAATGGCTTTTCTATTACCTGAGACTATATAAAAAAAAACTAACAAGAATAAAAACTTTGCTGAATAAAATAGTCATCACATCAACAAAAAATTATCAATAAAACAAACTTTTGGTATAATTTTTTAAATATAAAATTTTAGTTCAAATGTCAGGTTTTGATAAGTAACTTGCCTGTGTTAATATCACCAACTGTTGCCTGCTTGTAGAGAGAATAGATTTCCTTGAGTTCGTCATCAGTTGGCTGCTGCTGCAGGTTCTTGACCTGCTCAGCTGCTTGTTAAAATTCTGAAAATTAAAGAACTGAATTATATCACAAAACTTAACAATACAGGTAAAGTTCAGATCAGGACTGAGTAAAGATAAAAAAACAAAGAACATCTAATCCACAATTAGGTATAAAATAGGAGCTTGACAACCTTTTCTGGTAGCTTATCATACAAGGAACCAGTTTAAGTTATGCTCTATTGAAAATAAGTGGGAGAGGTTGGATGGCCACTGCCAGAACCCAACGATATAGGCATTGGTATTGCTTTGTGCAGTCCTATTCAGAAGAATTGACACAGTTATATATATACATATATATTGTAAACTGGTTTCATAATAGAGAAGCATCTAAGCTTTCAAAGTGCAAAATTAAATAACAGATCAATCTAATCCCTTGCAATCCCAAATACATAGTTTACTTGTCGAAGTTGAAAATCTTTTAAAATAAATGTTTTCCAGAATATTCATGACCAAAACTGCCAAAAGCTATTCTACTATAGAATTCCTTTTATGTAGGATTCCATTTCCTCTATTCCACTTACCATTCATTACTTAGTGCATGTCATTTTGTGCCAACTGGCTGCTTATGTCATTGGAATGTATCCAAGTTGTATTACCACAATATTTCAGCTCTAATGTGGTTCTCCATGTCTACTTTCGTACTAAGGAATGCTTATATCTGAGAAAAGTTTGTTCTCGAAACCAACATCATTGAGAAATATATACAGGCGTAATAATAAATCTATTTGTGGCTTGTCATGACTCATTGGCACTGGCTTCATATGCGTATACTACTGAATGGGAAAAAAAGTTAATGCACGTCTAAATTTATTTTGCAACTATCTTCATAAAACAACTGCGGGAAATCCACGTTTCGGAGTATTCTATAAAAGGCAAAAACAGGAAACCATCAAAGAATCTGGAAAGTTTGTATTCCACTGTGGTTACATCAAGTGTTAAAGTACCTACTCAAGACATTACTTCAA